AGGGGGGAGGGGGTAGGGGGGAGGGGCGGAGGAGCAAGCTGACCCTCCTCCCTCCTCCAGTCTCTGCCAGGCCCCAGGCTACCTCTGGGTCTCTGTGCCACAAAGACCTGCCTGTGAGCCCTTTTGAAGGCTCAGAGCCCCGTCTCGGGTGGAGCCATGGAGCTGGAGTGCTGGGTCAGCGGAGGCGTGTGGCCGCCATGTGTGACACGGTGCTTGGCCTCGGCCACGCTGAGCTCAGACCTTGGCCGCTGGCCGCCGTGGCGGCTGCTCCTGCAGCTGGGCCAGCGTGTCGCGCTTCTCAATGGAGCGCAGCTGCTGCTTCTTCGCTCGCCTGAGCTTGGCGGGGTTTCGGATCTGGGGGAGGTTGAAGGGAGGGCGTTAGCATGGCTGGAGTCTCCGCCCTGCTCCCCGGGGAAAGGGAAGCCACCGTGGGGGGCCTGGGACTGCGGCACGAGCGGGGGCCGTGAAGCAGGGGTGCCGGGGTGTCTGGAACACGACATTCAGCCTGGCCGCGTCCCGTCCCGCAAGCAGGGCAACGCTCACCACTTGGACGATCTCCGCCTTCCGCTCATTCTCCAGGCGGCGTTTCAGGTTCTCGGCACGGCGCTGCTTCTTCTCCTGGACACACAGGGGAAGGGGATTGGGTCTGGGAGCCGAGGCGGCCCTGGTCTCCCAGGCAGTGAGAGCTGACAGAATTCCCAGGGAGGAGGGCAAAAGGCCCACTTATCCCTGCTCCAGGTTGTTCCTGGTGCTGGGGGGTGGAGAGGCAGCAAGGAACCATCCCTGTGCCCCTGGGACCAGCATCCAGAGGCCCACTCCGGTGGGAAGTTCCTGACTTCACCTGAGAAGGGGGGCGCCTGGTCAGGCGGCTGAGGACACCGGGGTTGGAGGGGGAGGGGCGGGGTAAGACACAGGTGGCACCCCACCTGGAAACTCAGGCCCATGTAGACAGTGGTTCCTCTTACCACGGCCCTCATCAACTGCCCGGGGAGAAGGGGTGGCTGGCCCTTTCCCTCATTCCCGTCCTCTCAGAGTCTCCCCTCTCCCCCCTGAAGCCCACGAGCCCCTAGAATGCAAGGGCTGGGGTGAGGGCTGGCCTCCTAGGTTCACCCTGGCGCAGGGCTGGGAAGGGTGGAGGCTGCAGAGAAGAGGCTCCGGAGCATCTGGTCCCGGTTTGAATCCTGACTCTGCTACTTCCTAAATGTGTGACCTTGGCCAAGCGGTTTAAGCTCTGTGCCTCAAACTCCCATCTTTAAAGTGAAGATAATTACATAAGATTGTTTTGAGGACTAAATGAATGAACACACATACAGGGCTTGGAATAGTACCAGCCCACTGGGAACACTTAGAAGATGAATGTAGACGGAGTCTTCCTTGGGAATGGCTACGCTGACTGCTGTCCCTGGTGGGGCAGGGCAGGGACGGTGGCCCCAAGGCTGTGCATGGTCAGGGGCCTCCCTCGTCTTTGGCAACACAGGGTAAGGGTGGCTTGGGCCCGGAGGGAGAAAGGAGAAGTGACACTTGAGCTCCCGGAGGCGCAGGGGAAGGTCTGGACTGGGGGCTGGGCAGGGGCACCTCTAAAGGGGACGGTGACAAGAAGGTTCTCTCTTGCCCAAGAGGGAGCCACGGCCACACAGGAAGCTAGATAAGGCCTCAGCACGAGGCGGAGGCCACACAGTCTGCAGGGCCTCGGCCATAGGCTGAGCTGGGGCAACTCAAAGCAGGGGACAGATGACCAAGTGGCTGACCCACCCCCTCCCCTCATGGCCAGGCAGGGACTGCAGGCTTGGGGCGAGGTGTCTGACTCCTCCGGTGGCCTGGGGACCACGAGGTGAGTGACGTCCCATTGAGAAGTCCGCTCCTGGTGGATCTACACCACCACCTCCCTGTCTGCCAGCTGGGGCTTCCTGGAGGCTAGAGAGGTCGGGCGTGAACCTCTAACAGGGCACCTGTGGCCCTGAGATGAGCGTGAGGGAGAGCTGGAGGAATGCGCAGGCCGTCCACTCCGCTGATGTGTAGCAGCTGTGTCTTGGGGCATGCCAGCAACACCCGGATGAGGCCTCCAATCTGTATGCCCTTCCCACCCTTCCCCGGGTCCCCGAGGCTGGAGAACGGCTCTTTTTTTTTTTTTTTTTGCGGTACGCGGGCCTCTCACTGTTGTGGCCTCTCCCGTTGCGGAGCACAGGCTCCGGACATGCAGGCTCAGTGGCCATGGCTCACGGGCCCAGCCACTCCGCAGCATGTGGGATCCTCCCGGACCGGGGCACGAACCCGTATCCCCTGCATCGGCAGGCGGACTCTCAACCACTGCACCACCAGGGAAGTCCTGGTGAACGGCTCTTGACCAAGCCCCTCCCACCCCGGCCTGGCCGACCCCTCCCACCCCGGCGTGGTCGGCCCCTCACCTGCCGGCGCTGCTCCTTCTCCTCCTGCAGGCGCCGGGCGAAGTCCTTGGCCTGCTTCCTCTCCTGCCGGTCCTGCATCTTCCGCCGCCAGGATGTGCGCAGGGGCTTGTCCTGAACCATCTGGGAGAACCTGCATGGGGGACACTGGGTGCTCTTGGAGTCCGCGGGATGCCCCGGTGCCCTCCCTCTGGGCCTCCTTCCCTACCTGCCTGCTTGCCCGGCAGTCGACCCTCCGGGTCTGTAGAAACTTGGAGCAGGAAAGGGCCCTGATCACGCCCACTGCCATTTCTTAAGCCCTGGTTACGTACCTGAGGTGGCAACTCCTGTTCCCTCCAGTTTATAGAGGAGCAAACAAAGCCTCAGAGAGGTTAAGGAATTGCCCAAGGTCACCTTGCTCCTGAGCAGCCGTCTGTGACCAGAGTCCAGGCCGCACGGCCTCCACCGCCAAGCTCCGCTGCTCCGGCCGAGCGCAGAGGGCTGGGCGTGGACGCCTCTGGAGAGGGGGCTCACTCCCTACTGGGGCGCCCATTTCATCTCAGAACAGCGCAAATGATCACGGTCCCCTGCAGTGATTCAGAACCTCTGTCCCAGCAGGGGAAATGTGAAAATGGAGTGGGTGCTAGGGAACATCAGGGAAGTCTTGATTTTCTAAAGAGTGATAGTGACACGGTCACAGAAGCGAGGTTACCTCTGTAAGAACGCACACCGCCAGGATCTAGGGGTGGACGATAAATCTAGGACGTGCTGTAAAACATTCCGGGAAGACGGAAAAACGTCAAGGAGCAAGAGGACACTAGACCAGGAAAAGGCTGAGGGCTGCCGAGGCTGGTGATGAGGGCTTGGGGGTTCATGCAGCCGTGCCGCCCCTTTTCCGGAAGCTTTCTCCTTGAACGATTTGAAGCCTGTTCGGATGTCCCACGGGCCTTCTTTCCCCCTCAACACTTCCTTTCGTAGTGGCCTTTCCGCCTCCCTCGATAATTTCTTGACTTCCAAAAGAGCTCCTGTTTACCCACGTCCACTCTACCATGCCCCAAGCGGTCACAGCAGTGGGCTGCAGTGGGCACCAGGCCGAGCCCACTCCCGCCCCTGGGGAAGGTCAATACGGCTCTTCGGGTTCATCTTTCCCCTTTCTTGCTCCACAGGAGTCTGCACATACAGCCTGGACCCTGACCCCACGCCTGTCCGTCCTCAGCCTGGTTCTGCCTACCCCCCGCCCCCGCTCCCCAGTTCTGCCTGCCTGCCCCCAGCACACACCCCACTGCTTCTTCTCCCCCTCCCCTTACGTGGAGACAAGAACCGTTCCCATCACAAAGGGTGGTAGGAGGATTAATGGCTCACGGCCGAGAAGCGCTCAGCACAGTGCTCTGCGTATAGTAGATGCTCAGTGAATCCACCCTTCAGAGAAGGGAGACGGTGCACCCAGGGAGCACTGGGCAGAAGGTGGCATTAGGCCTGGGCACGGGGGGTGGGTGGGTGGGCGTGTGCTTCCCAGCCTCGGCCCCCTCCCCCCGCATCCCCGCTTTGCTGGGACACCTCGTGTGGCAGGTGCTGCCCCTGCCTTCTCGGGGCTCACTCACCAACTGCTGAAGCTGCTTCCTCAAAGGTCCCAAACATCCATTCAACAGCCCCTCTGGCCCTTACCCACAGGCCTGGCGCCGCTTCTGGAGGTGCTTTAATTCTACTGCAGCAGCTTCCTTACTGGTCTCCCTGGTCTCCCCTCTGCCCTCCTAAAGGTCTGTTCTCCACAGGCCAGACCGGTCCTTGCAGAGGTCAGATCGCGTCACTCTTTTGCTCAACACCCCCCATGGCTCTCACGCTCACTCAGGTCCCTGCAAGGGCCCACGTGGGCCCACGTGACCTGGCCCTGTGACCACTCTGACCTCACTCACCTCCTACCGCTCCCCTTGTGCCCAGTGACGAGGCCTCTGGACTTTCTGTTCCCCTTGCCTGGGTACTCTTTCCCAGTATGTTCACTCAGGCCTCTGCTCACATCCCTGTGGCAGTGAAGCCATCTGTAATCACTGTGGCAACGCCCTGCACCTCTTGCTTTGTTATTTTCCTGTATTGCCCTAATTACTGATATATGTATATATTACGTGTTGGTTACCCATTTCTCACAACTAGAATGTTTCGTTTATAGCCATGTTTACCCCCAGATCCTAGCTCAATGAAATATAAACTGGTTGAACGAATGAACTACCTTCTGTTCTCATTCATCTACTCGTTTGAGGTAGGCACTGAGGTGCCTACCATGTGCTGGGCGCTGGGGAGAATCTAGCCATTGTAGGTAAATCCTCACTCTCCTGGAGCCTCTGGTCTAGAGGGGAAGCTGGCAGCTGACAAGAATCACACAAGTAAACAAGCATTTGTGCAAATGGGTGTGTTACAAAAGATACAAGGTACAATGACAACACACAGCTTGAAGACTTAACCCTGGCTGGGTTGCACAAAGAGGGCTTTTCCCAGGGGATGCATGTTTAAGTGGAGCCCTGGAAGAGGAGCAGGGGATGGCCAGGGGAGGAGCCTTTCAACAGAAGGAACAGCATGTGCAAAGGCCCTGAGCTGGGAGGGAGCATCACCTACAGGGGGCACACAGAGGGGAGGCCAGTGTGGGAGACTCTTAGTGATGGCAGAGATGGCAGGGGAGAGGAAGACGTCTGGAGCGCAGCTCCAAGCAAACAACAGGAAGCTGGGAAGCATTTCCGCTCGGGCAGGAAGCTGGGACAAAATACCCTTTCTCTTGCTTCTTGGTATCCTCTGCTGACCCTCTCTTCTCCGGGCCTGTGTGTCGGAGCAGCCTCCTTACGCTCAGTGAGCTCCTCTCCCCGCCGCCCACCTCCCGAGTGCCAGGACTCCAGGCTCCCACACTCAACTTGCTCACCATCCTCTCCCCACCGGAACCAACCTCTTCATCTGGTCCCGCATGGCCATCAGTGGCCCCACCATTCTCTGGGACCTGCTGGGACCGAGGTGGAGGGGCAGCACCACCACCCACTTCTCCAAGTCCAACAGTCGCTCCATCTTCAAAGTCTCTGATTGGTGACTTGTAGGAAATCACTCCCTCAGTTTCAGTTTCTTCTCTGTTTAAGGAGGGAGGGGCTTGGGGAAGGGCAATAATGCCCACCGCCTTGGGGTTTAGGGGGTCAGCAAAATGACATCTGCAAAAGGCCTAGCACAAAGCTTGACGCGTCAGTCATCCCTTAGTAAACGTCCGCTTCTTCCGTAAAATCACTGCCTTCCCCTATGGGCCCTCACAGCCACGAATTCCTGTCTGCCCAGTGGTTCCCAGTAGCTAAAACATTAACTGGACCCCACCTCTTCTTCCTGGCAGCCTAAACATTTCCTTCTTCAGTTGCGCCTCTTTGTTCCTTCACTCAACAAGCATTTAATTGAGCACTTACTGCCCGCGGCACAGAAAGACAAGACCTCACGCCTACCCTTTAGAAGGGATAGTTCGGGAGTTTGGGATGGACACATACACACTGCTATATTTAAAACAGATAACCAACAAGGACCTACTGTAGAGCACAGGGAACTCTGCTCAATAGTATGTAACAACCTAAATGGGAAAAGAATTTGAAAAAGAACAGATACATGTATATGTATAACTGAATCACTTTGCACCTGAAACTAACACAACATTGTTAATCAACCATGCTCCAATATAAAATAAAAGTTAAAAAAAAAAAAGGTTGCAATTCAATGCAAGGCGGTTCTACAGAGCACGGGTAAAGGGCTTTCACGCAGACTTTGGAATCAGATCTGTGTTCAGGTCCTGCCTCTACCACACATTTAGCCTCCCTGAGCCTCAGTGCCCTCATATGTAAAATGAGGATAATCCTAATGCCTGCTGCTTCATTGAGCTGATGGGCTGATTAAATGCCAAGAAGCATGCTGCTCCCTGTTTGAAAGGCCCTTCCCCTGGCCAATCCGTACTAGGGTGCTTAGCAGCGTCCTATATACTCAGCGCTTGGTAGTGCCTTTTATCAAAAAGGCAAATAACTGTAACAGATAATGGTGGATGAAGACCTCACTGCTGGTTTACTTGCTTCTGCCCCCTTACCAGAGAGGGCAGAGACAAGGATAAATGCGTGTTGAATGAACACACAGATGAGGTGCTATCCAGGGGTCCTTTAAGGGCACCCCTCCCTGAGATCCCAGTGCATTTCACCACATTCTGATTATAATTACCTCTTTGTGTGACTCCCCCAGTGATGTGAGATCTCTCCAACCTACGGGCTATCTCCTGGCTGCACCCAGGCTCCAGCACCACACAAAACCCCATCCCTGCTCAGCTGTCCCCCACCTCACCTCTTCTTTGAGCGGTCCTTCCACACCCGTCCAGACTTGGGCTTCCCCTTCGGGATTTTAGGAACCTCCTCCTTCTTCGGTTTCTTGGACGCTGCGGCCTGGGCTGAAGAACCTTCTCGCTTCTTTGGCCCGAGGCCGTCTCTCTCCGGCTGCCCGGCCGGCGGTGGCTTGCTCGGCTCACGCTGATCCCGTGGGGAGCCGGGCGACTGGGGTGTCAGCTCCTGCACTGGCTGAGAGGGCTCGGGACCCGGCGCTTGCTGACCGGGGTAAGGCTCTAGTGACCCTGGGCTCGGCTGCAACTGATGTCGGGGGGACCCCGGGGTCGGCTCCTCCTTACTCTTGGGCGACTCCGAATCCGCTTCTTCTCGGTCCTGGGAAAACTTTGGTGACTCCCCACTTGGCTGTGGCTGAAGTCGGGAGAATTCAGGACTCGATTCCGGCTGTCTTTGGGGCGACTCCAGGCCTGGGTCTCGCTGACGCTGGGGCGACCCTGGGCCCGGCTCTGGCTGCTCTCGGGGGGACCCCAAGCCTGCCTCCTCCCGTAAACTGGGTGATTCAGGGCTTGTCTCCGGCTGATGTCTGGGAGACTCCAGGCCAGGTGGCCGCACACCCCGAGGAGACCCGGGCTCCCTCCTTTCTTCTGGGTTCGACTCGAACTCCACAAGGGCCCGTCTCGCCCGCAGAACTGAGGTGGGGTTCTCGGGGGATTCAGGCTTTAGTCCTTCCAGCCGCCGGCTGCGCCTCAGCGGCGTATCCATGGCCCGCGCAGAGTTTCCAAACGCGAGCCCACGTGCAGTCTCCGGGACTACCGGCGCCGTCCTATGACGTTATAACCCCGCTACGTCTGCGCCGGGCAGGAGGGGCTGTTGCCTCGGAGGCCATGTTGGTGACGGGCGAAAAGGCTCAGGGAGGAGTCCGGGGAGAGCGGGCGTTGGGTTTACTAAGCGCATGCGCAAAGCGCTTTGGCTCATTTACCTGTGATTGAAGAATGAGTCCCAGCTTGAGATCCGTATTCACCTTGCTTGCGAGCCCAGTCTCCCGAGGGGAAAGAGAGTGTGCAGGCGGAAAACGGTAGAAGGGGTCCCATTTTCGGGAGAGAAGAGGATTGGAAAAAGATCCAGGGAGCCTGTAGACAAGGCTGGATAGAAACTTTGCTGCTAACTCACTTCTTTACTGCTAACTCAGCTTCAGCGCTGAGCACAGCCCCACCTGCTGAGTCACTGCGGACAGGACACAGCAGCAGGAGTGAGAGTATCAGCGTATCAAATGGGCCCCAGGGTGTCCTGACTGCTGATCAAGAGGAGGTGAGGAGAAGGAAAACCCAGGCAAGGTTCCTGGAGGACGGAAAGGTGGATTGAGGATTCCTTAACACCTCTCACCCCTCGGCTGGTGCCACACAGCATCCAAAATGCACCCCGATGAGTTTAGCCTGTTGAAATCACCTCCCCAAGGGTAAGGCGATGGCAGGCTTCTTCACTAACCTTAGAGGTTGTCAGAATTAGTTGCACCCTTGTGCTGTAATCCTGCCTTCCTGTCCCTGCCTTCCTGGCCGCTCTCAGAGACTCCACCTGCAGGCTCAGCGGCCTTGGGCCCTTTGCTCCTGGACCAAGGAAATCCTTGCAGTGAGGCTTTGTCTCAGTGCCCCAGCGCAGCAGTGCAGCTCCCCGCTGCAGAAGCAGCTCAGACCCCTCCTTGGCCAGCTTTTCCAACACCCCAATTCTCAGTTCCTTAAATCCCCTGCCCCAGCCTGGACGCCGAAATGGCCTGCCACTCAGAGCCACACCTGGCATGCATTACCAGGGCTGTGGAGACGGCACACCACCTCACTGCCCTGCCCTACCCTGGGTCCCCTCAGCTCTCCTGGCTTCCTGAGCACCCGTCCTCAGCTGGAGGGATCACTCTCTAATGCCAATTAGGTCGTATCCTGGTTCCGCTTAAAATACTTCAGAGGGTGATCTCAGGTCCCTGCCAGGTGATGTAAGAGCAGGGGATGCTTTACAGACATCCTTCAGATCAGGTGAGGAGACCCCTAGTCAGTGGAGGCATCAAGCGATCTCTGGCCCAGAACCATCGCTTCCACCCAGGCTCAGTTTGTCATTGTCATTATAAATGGTGTGCAGGGGCCCAGGGGACATTCCTGAATTTTTCAGAAAAGGTTGGTGTGACAGTTGCTATTGGAACTCTGTTCTCATATGCTCTTTGTCTTTCTACTGCAGGCATCCCAGCCTCCTGCCCTCGGGGGAAAGGATGCTGAGGGGGGTGGGTCTTCTACAGTCTCCCAGAGGCCCCAGCAGGATTGAGCCCCAGTTTCTATGAAGGCAACCTGGTCATTCGTGCACCTCCTTTTGGCTTCTCCCCTGTTCCTGTCTCAGCTTCCCACTCCCTTATAGGTGCTTGCTGGGGTCATTTTCTTTCATTCTTTTTCGGCGGCGCCGTGTGGTGTGTGGGATCTTAGTTCCCCGACCAGGCAATGGAACCCGTGCCCCCTGCATTGGGAGTGAGGAGTCTTAACCACTGGACCGCCAGGGAAGTCCCCTTGCTGGGGTCATTTTCTGAATAGACTATTTGCATTTAAATCCTTGTCTCAGAGTCAGCTGTGGAGGAACCCGGCCAAAAACACTGGGACAAGCAATTATTGGACCAGGCATTCTTTCAAGTGCTCTATATGTACAAACCCACTTAATCCTCACAACCACCCTGTGTGGCAGGTGCTGTTGTTATTACTCCCATTTCACAGATAAAGAAAACTGAGGCACAGAGAGGCTGGGACACTTGTAAAGGTCACACAGCAGAGAGATGGTGGAGGCGGGATCCACATGTGGGCTTCTGACTGCAGAGCCACAACACTTAAGAGTAAATCTCCCTGTTTTCCGTGTAAGAAAACCAAGGCACAGGAAAGCTAAGCTGTTTGCCTAAAGTCACACAGCTCTACATCGACGAACAAGGACTACATTTCCGGTGCTGACAAGCTTAGTTGCCTTGCAACTGTCCCTCCCGTGGGCCTCCCTCAACCGTTCCTCACACTGATCTTGGTCTGCGCACTGGGAGATGCTCGGTGCCAGGTCGCCTCAGGGGCCTGCCGAGGCTCTGTGTGCGCACGCGCAGGGCGGAGTGTGCTGAATCAGCAATACCGGGCTCGTTTATGTAACCTGAGATCTGCTGACTGAAGGAAACTGTGTGCCCACAGATGATCTTCCGATACAGATCAGGTGCTCTTCTCAGAGCCATTGAGCCTCCATCCAGCCACAGGTGCTGTGGTTGAGAGGGTTTGACATATCAGGTTTGAGATGTCAGGCACCCGTATCCCTGTATCCTCGCTCAGCGCCAAGATCAGAGATGGCTGGGGAATGGGTCCTGGCAGTCACCAGACGCACTCCTTGAGCACTTGCTCAGTGCCGGGCCTCCCCTGGGTGCTCATTAATCCCCTGGGACGTCGGTGCAGGAGGGTGGTTGCAGCACATGCTGGATGAGTGTTTGCTGTATAAGTGAACGGGCAGGGAGGAACATCTGCGGTTTACCAACAAGGAAATCCAAGGCTGGGACAGGCTGTGATCTGGCACAGGGTGACCCAAGGAGAGGGTGCAAGGTGCAAGGTCAGGGCTGGAACTCGGGGCTTCCTGACTCTAAACCCAAGCGCTCACTCTCACGTGCATTGTGCTCAGGACTAGGAGACGGGGGCTGAGGATGTGTAAGGACTTCCTCGGTCTGGGAGGGTGGATCTGGCGACTGGGACATCGCTGAGTGTGGCTGGTGTGAGAGCACGGCCCCGATGAGGCCCCGACGAGGCGGAGGCATCACTGCACTTGACCTGCCCACGCCTGCCCTTCACTGGGTCACGTGGGTCCAGGCTGCTGTCTGTTCCACTCAGGGTTCTCAAGTATTCGAAGACAGTTTTCCTGTAGCTTCCCCAGAATTGTCTTTTATCCTGGCTGAACATCTGCTCCTCCAGCTGTCTCTCCCACAGCGGTCAGTCTCTGGGGAAGACACTGGTTCTCTACAGCCTTCAGACTGTGGTGTCCAGAGCTCCTGCAGGCACCCAGGGTTGATTGTCCCACAGAGAGCCGAGTGGATTTGTCACCTCCCTGCTCCATGGTCCCTCTCAGTATGGCCAGGCACCCACCCTCTTTTCTCAACAGTGAGCTGCCAAATGAAACACTGTCTGGTTCCAGCTGCTGATCCCGGGATCCTGGACGTGAGTGTTGGCTTTTCTAGACAAGTGCGGAACGTGTCATTTGGCCATGCTACATTTTGCTTTGACCCCTCTGGAGACCCAGTTCTCCTCCTTCAATCTTTGCTGCCCCCTCCTCCTGTGGGCGTGTGAACAGCTGCTCTGGGCACCGTGGATCAGGCTTTCCTGAGAACCTGCAACAAAAGCGACGTTATCATGTCTGTTCTTATCATGGGTTCTTTCTTAATCTTGGAGGTTCATCTTTTCTGCGCATTCCCAGCAGCTCGCAAGGAGTTTCAGATCCTCAAGAGGAGGGGGCAGAGACCTCAGCGGAGGGGCCAGGGGGAAGGACAGGCAGGAGTGGCACCTGGGACCCCTGGGCGTTGCCAGGGTGCAGAGAAGCTGACTTGATTGGGAAGGGACCCCTTTGCAAAGCTCTCGTGAACCCGCAAAGCTTATCTCCTGATCCCCTCGCAGCATTTGCAGGTTTTGCTGAAACAGGAAGGGGTGGATGTGCTACTGCCGGTGCGACAAGACCTCCCTCTGCCCTCCCACACCCCCGGGCCCTCGCCAGATTCCACAGTCTGGTCCGCTGCCCAGGAAGGGAGCGCAGGGGTGGGCTGGGGAATAAACACCTGTGCCAGGTGGGAGGAAGATACCCCAAGAAGGGGGGCATGGCAACTCGTGCCGCATCTCACCCTCACCCCAATGTGTCCAATAGCAATGCTTCTCAAACTTGGGTGGGCATCAGAATCACACAGAAGACGTGTTAAAAGCCAGATTTCTGGACCCAAACTCCAGACATGATGATTCAGTAGGTCTGGGGTGGGCCTGGGATTCTGCATTTCTACAAGCTCCCCGGTGATGCTGCTGTTGGTACGTGGACCACACTTAGGGGAGCTGTGTCCTGCTGGAGGGAGTGAGAGATTTCCTGTTTCACCTTCGTGGACGGGGCTGGGGCTGAGTTCCCCATCATCCTACCGTTTACTCATTCACCAAATACTGATTGAATATTTACTCTGAGAGGCACTAGTAGAGCAGGGAGCAGGGCAGTTGTGGTCCCTGCCTCGATGGCACTTACATTGTCTTGGGGCACTTGTGTTAAACACTTGAATCTCAGAACTACCCTTTGAAGGAAGCTGAGCAAGAATCATCATCCCTATTTCACAGGTGAGGAAATAGCATCACAGAGAGGTTACGTGCCTTGCTGAGAGCCACATTAATGTTAAGTGGCAGAGCCTGAACTCAGGACTTCTCAACTCAAAATCTGGCCACCATCCCCTGGCTGTGAAACATCTCAGTTTCATGGGGCTGGATTTCGATGGCAGAGATACAGACCCTGGACACGTGTCCGTGGGTGACAGCTGGGGGCTTCATTCTTATGGATGGAAGGTGAGCTTGACAGACAGACACACCTCCCCACACACCCACACACAGAGGATAACTGCAGAGTTTCACGGTGACTCGCTTCCCCACCCTTCCTCGCTGTTCACTTACCCCTCTCCTCTCATTTCCTCTAACATCTGGTTCCTCTGCAGCTCTGGCCCCTCCTCGGTGCCATATCTGCTCCAGCGAGGGTGGTCTCCTCCATCCAATATGGCAGCCTCATCTCCATGGCAACCCCTGGAGACCTTGCCATGGTGACCAAGGCGCAAATTATGAGGCCCCTTTTCTGAAGCACAGACCAACGAGGCCCCTGATTTGAGGATGGGAATCTGCTGGGCCTTTGGCAAGGGAATCTCTGCTCTCTCTCCCCCTCTGCACACTCTAGCAGTGAACAAAAAACAGCCCTGTATCAGACTGAGCTGGTAAGTTGAGGTTTCCCTTCAGTCAGTAGTCTTGCTTCTCCATTCCTCTCACACTGCGTCCAAAACCTCATGC